AAGGAAGGAAGGAAGGAAGGAGGAAAGGAGAGAGGGAAGGTGGGAGGGAGGGAGGGAGGGAGGAGGAAGGAGGAAGAAAGGAGAGATGGGAAGGAATGAGGGAAAGAAAGGAAAAAGAAGAAAGGAAGGAGGAAAGGAGAGGGAAGGTGGGAGGGAGGAAGGGAGGGAGGGAGGAAGGGAGGGAGGGAGGAAGGAGGAAGCAGGAAGAAAGGAGAGATGGGAAGGAATGAGGGAAAGAAAGGAAAAAGAAGGAAGGAAGGAAGGAAGGAAGGAAGGAAAATTCAGCCGCTTGGGAACTGACTCACATTTATGACGGTTGCAGTGTCCTGGGGTCACGTGATCCCCCTTTTGCGACCTTCTGACCAGCAAAGTCAACGGGGAAGCCGGACTCACTTAACAACCGTGTGACTAAATTAACAACGGCAGCGATTCATTTAACAACCGTGGCAAGAAAAGTTGTAAAAATGGGGCAAAACTCACTTTAAAAAAATTTCTCACTTAGCAACATACATTTCGGGCTCAAAATTGTGGTCGTAAGTTGAGGACTACCTGCACACTAACAGGGTGCTCCTGTCTGGATTTTCTTTTTTTTCCCAACACAGATGTTTTCCAAGCGTGGGTAGCCCTTGGGATTCTTCCAAGTTTTTGCATTCAAGTCCCAAACCAGCCTCAACTCAACTCTGTTAGGGATGAATCTCTCAAAAATTACTCAAGTGCTGCCATCTGGTGAGGCCACCTGATAAACAGGTTGATGTTGTGATGGTGTTGCTTTGTGCAACTCTTCCTGGTTCTGAGTTGCCCAGAGGCAGCTTTGCAGCTGTGAAGAGAAAAAAAACCCCCACAATGTTCAACTAAGATCTTCTCTAAGCGGCTTCCCTTCTGTCGTGTTCTTCTCATCACTTTCTCTTCTTCTCTAGCTCTTGGTTCCCACTTCTTTCTTCCCATCAGGATTGATGTCCCAGTGTTGCTTTTTTTTTTTCCAGGAGGCAACTGGACTTCCTTGTTTTTTCCTTTGAAGACCGTCAGGAAGTTTCTCCTTAGTTCTAGGTTGCTTCTCTCCTTGATTAGTTTCCATCCATTGCTTCCTGTCCTGCCCTCAGGGGCTTTGGAGAATAGCTTGACTCCCTCTTCTTTGGGGCAGCCCCTGAGATACTGGAAGGCTGCTATCATGTCCCCCCTCGTCCTTAATAATAATAGTAAAGTTGGAAGGGACCTTGGAGGTCATCTAGTCCAACCCCCTGCTCAAGCAGGAAACCCTATACCATTTCGGACAAATGGCTGTCCAGTCTCTTCTTAAAAACTTCCAGTGTTGGAGCATTCACCACTTCTGGAGGCAGGTTGTTCCACTGGTTAATTGTTCTCACTGTCAGTAAGTTTCTCCTTAGTTCTAGGTTGCTTCTCTCCTTGATTAGTTTCCATCCGTTGCTTCTTGTCCTGCCTTCAGGCGCTTTGGAGAACAGCTTGACTCCCTCTTCTTTGGGGCAGTCCCTGAGATACTGGAAGGCTGCTTTCATGTCCCCCCTCGTCCTTCTCTTCATTGAACAGACATACCCAATTCCAGTAACTGTTCTTTATATGTTTTAGCCTCCATCTTTGTCGCTCTTCTCTGCAGTCTTTCTAGAGTCTCAACATCTTTTTTACATCGTGGTGACCAAAACTGGATGCAGTATTCCAAGTGTGGCCTTTTGAAAGGCCTCAGTGATGGAGCACCCACAACTTCTGAAGGCAAGTTGTTCCACTGATTAATTGTTCTGTCAGGAAATTCCTCCTCATTTCCAGGTTGCTTCTCTCCTTGATTAGTTTCCACCCGTTGCTTCTTGTCCTACCTTCAGGTGCTTTGGAAAATAGCTTGAAACACACACACCCCTTCTGAGATATTGGAAGACTATATACAGAATAACAAAGTTAGAAGAGACTTTGGAGGTCTTCTAGTCCAATTCAGGAAACCGTACGCCATTTCAGCCAAATGTCTGTCCAATTTCTTCTTGAAAACCTCCAGCAATGGAGCACCCACAACGTCTGAAGGCAAAACTGTTTCACTGATTAATTCTTCTCACTGTTGGGAAATTTCTCCTTAGCTCTAGGTTGGTTCTCTCCTTGATCAGTTTCCATCCACACATCTCCGTGAGCAAAACCAACCTTACCAAATTTCTACAAGGACAACTAAGAGCATCCTGTCATACAGCATCAGAGTCTGGTTTGGAAGCATCCCTGCTTCAGATAGGAAGGCGGTGCAGAGAGTGGTGAGGATGGCCGAAAAGATCATTGGCAGCTCCCTCCCTCCCATGCAGGACATAGCACAGAAGCGTTGCTTGAGCAAGATTATCTGGGACACTACACATCCTCTTCACAACCTGTTTTCCTTGTTACCTTCTGGGAGGAGGGGGCTTCGTGGTATCAGTAGGAGAACATCCAGATTCAGCCAGAGTTTCATTCCATACAGCATTAACCTTATGAACTCTCAAGCTTCCTCCTTCCGTTATATATTCAAGATGGACAGTATTTAATATTTATTTGCTACGTATATGTAGGGGTGCGGGCCTATACATATGTTGTACATAGTATGTTTAGGTGTGTGTCATGTATGTGTTTCACTTTGAGAGCGGGCAACTAAATTTCATTTTTGATGTGTGCCGTTGTGCCCACAGTAAAAAATGACAATAAAGGTTATCTTATCTTATCTTATCTTATCTTATCTTATCTTATCTTATCTTATCTTATCTTATCTTATCTTATCCATCTTATCTTATCTTATCTTATCTTATTGTATCTTATCATCTTATCTTATCTTATCTTATCTTATCTTATCTTATTGTATCTTATCATCTTATCTTATCTTATCTTATCTTATCTTATCTTATCTTATCTTATTGTATCGTATCTTATTGTATCTTATCTTATCTTATCTTATCTTATCTTATCTTATTGTATCGTATCTTATCTTATTGTATCTTATCATCTTATCTTATCTTATCTTATCTTATCTTATCTTATCTTATCTTATCTTATCTTATCTTATTGTATCTTATCATCTTATCTTATCTTAGCTTATCTTATTGTATCTTATCATCTTATCTTATCTTATCCTATCTTATCTTATCTTATTGTATCTTATCACCTTATCTTATCTTATCTTATTGTATCTTATCATCTTATCTTATCTTATCTTATCTTATCTTATCTTATCTTATCTTATCTTATCATCTTATCTTATCTTATCTTATCCTATCTTATCTTATCTTATTGTATCTTATCTTATCTTATCGTATCTTATCATCTTATCTTATCTTATCCTATCTTATTGTATCTTATCTTATCTTATCTTATCTTATCATCTTATCTTTTATCTTATCTTAAGGCTTGTTTTCTTGTTTTCTTTTTTCAAGATGGTTCACATTTCCCCCTAGATTCCAATCCCTTTGCCCTGGAAATCAGATTAAAACATTTTATCCTCACTTAGATTTGCGTGCTTTCTGCTTAAATGCCCCAGCCGATGCAGCCTAATTTTTAGGAATAAGATTCAGGCCTACCTCTTCAACGAAGCTATCTTTCTGGTCAAGCATTTCCCGCAAAGTCTGGAGGATTTTGATGCAGAGTTTTTCTTCCTTCTCCATTAGCCGTTTGGTATGATTTATCAACCTTAAGATAAAACATGAGACGAAATATAACACCGAGCCCCGTGGGCCCCTCTCGATTATTTCTCTTTGCTCTTTTTTCACATTATGTTTGCAACTTTTACTCGTACTGGGTAGTTCACGAAGGGGTGCTGTTGTAAAGGCACAACCTTTTGCATTTGGAACCTGCCTTCACAACCAACCACCAGAAGGCACATTTGGCACTGAGGATAACTTACTTCATTGCAAAGGAAAATAACTTGAGAGTAAATCCGACTCCTTACTAACACTGATGATGTTACCTAGTTGGGTGATGAAATGTCTGCAAGAAAACCACCAAGCTCAGAGAGAACTTAGAACCCCACAGTTCAAATATCTAAGCAAACTCCCCTCCTTTCTAGCACTGATGATATTCTCTAGTTGGGTCATGAAACATCTGCAAAGAAACAACCAAGCTCCGAGAGCACCAAGGACCCCACAGTTCAAATCTCTGAGCAAGCTCTCCTCCCTTCTAGCACTGATGATGCTACCTAATTGGGTCATGAAACGTCTGCAAGAAAACCATCAAGCTCACAGACCACCAAGGACTCCATAGAAACTGAGCAGTCAAATATGTTTTAGACCAGTGATAGCGAACCTTTTAGACACCGAATGCCCAAAAACTGCCCCGCCCGCTTTGCCCCCACACTGCCCGCTCTCTCTCTGCTCTGCCCGCCCGCCTGCAGGGCCACCCACTGCCTCCACGGCCAACCGCAGCAGTGCCATGGTGGCCACACCCTCCGCCCGTGCCCCGCAGCATCATCTGCACACGACGGGGCGCAAGGGCAGAGTCTTGTCCCTGCTGCCCGGCTGCCATGTCCTTGGCGGTGCTGCTCCACCCGGGCCGTGCCCAGGGGCGACTCTCCTCCGGGGGGGCTGCTAGTGAGGAGGGGGCCGTGGGGGAAGGCGGGGCTGGGGTAACGGCACACGTGCCCACAGAGAGGGCTCTGAGTACTGCCTCTGGCACGCGTGCCATAGGTTCGCCAACACTGTTTTAGACGGTGGTGGGATTCAGCCGATTCGCACCACTTCGGCAGAACCGGTACCTAATTTTTTGTTGCCCAGGCCCTGAGTGGACTTCCAGAAGCGGCATCCACTCAGAGAACCGGTTGTTCACCTATTTGAATCCCACCACTGCTTAGAGCTCGGTCAATTTAATACAGTAATCAAAGAAATCTGTTTTCCAGGTGGACGTGACGAAGAACGCGTACAACCAGGGGGTGGAGAGCGATCAGGAAGAGGAGAATGGCAAAGAGAGTATTTTGCCAAAAGATGTTGGGCATAATATCTATATATTAGCTCACCAGGTATGTGGTTGTGTTGCCTTTTCGGGCTTCATAGGACAACTCCATATAGAAGTGGTCCCAAAAATGTCTCACAGCATTCCGTAGCTCTCATAAGAGGGAGGCGGTTATAGGATTGTGGGCTTAAGCACCTCAAGATTGGAAATTCTCTCTAAAAAGTGTGTGTTATTTGTGTACGTTTGTGTAAGACAGGGGGGTCTTCAAACTTGGCCCTTTTACGACTTGTGGACTTCAACTCCCAGAATTCCTCAGCCTGCGTGCCTGGCTGAGGAATTCTGGGAGTTGAAGTCCACAAGCAGGCGTCTTCAAACTTGGCCCTTTTACGACTTGTGGACTTCAACTCCCAGAATTCCTCAGCCTGTGTGCCTGGCTGAGGAATTCTGGGAGTTGAAGTCCACAAGCGGGCGTCTTCAAATTTGGCCCTTTTTACGACTTGTGGACTTCAACTCCCAGAATTCCTCAGCCTGCGTGCCTGGCTGAGGAATTCTGGGAGTTGAAGTCCACAAGCGGGCGTCTTCAAACTTGGCCCTTTTACGACTTGTGGACTTCAACTCCCAGAATTCCTCAGCCTGCGTGCCTGGCTGAGGAATTCTGGGAGTTGAAGTCCACAAGCGGGCGTCTTCAAACTTGGCCCTTTTACGACTTGTGGACTTCAACTCCCAGAATTCCTCAGCCAGCGTGCCTGGCTGAGGAATTCTGGGAGTTGAAGTCCACAAGCGGGCGTCTTCAAACTTGGCCCTTTTACGACTTGTGGCATCCACTCAGAGGGCCGGTTGTTCACCGATTTGAATCCCACCACTGGTTTTAAAATACGTAACTTACTTGGACATGAAGGCTCCACATCTAATTCTAGCATCGCTTCCTTCGGGAAAGAGAAGCTCAGGACTCCGTAAGACGTCAACCAGCACAGAAAATTCAGCTTGCATCATGGGATTGAACTGCTCTTCCAAGGAGGCCACCACGTCCTAAAACAATGGCAAAAATAAATAAATAAAGATTCATTGCTGAGGCCTCTGGATAATAAAGGGTGGCTGGTTTTCTAACAAATCCAGCAGGATGAAAACTTCATTTTCAACTTTTTCCCATTTCAAGGGAAATGACAAAGGGGAAATAGAAGGCATATACTACAACGTATAACACCAATACGTTATGTGGTTTTCATTCAACAACTCAAAAACCCGACGATCAGTCATCATTTCTAGACCAGGAATGTCCAGCTTTGGCAACTTGAAAATCTCTGTGGGTTTTAATTCCCAGAATTCCCCAGTCGGCCATTGCTGGCTGGGGAATCATGGGCGTTGAAGTCCACAGCTCTTAAAGGTGCCGACTTTGGACTCCCCATATCTAGACGCTGCTTTAACTGAGCATTTGGATTCCCTATTTTATAGCATACCTGTAACTTCTCAATGATGTTCCTGTAATCCCACGAAGGTCCTCCAAGGGGTTCTTTAAAGCGGGGGCCGCTACGAGCAGACATCCGCCAACCCATGGCTGCTCTTTGGATCATGTTGGTGTGACTCTTCATGAACAGCGTATTCACTTGGCTATCCAGGTCCACTGGGATCGCAATGCCACGGTTCTTGGCTTTGGAAAAAACACCGTTAAAAATGTATCAGTACATACACACATGCCTGTGCATATAATAAATATATCCAACAGAGAGATAAAATTAGACATGTCTGACATAAAATGTTACTGATCATGGAACTTTGACTCTCCTTCCTTCCTCTTTTCCTCCTCCTTCCCTTTCTACGTTCGTCCCTTCTTCCTTCCTTCCCTCCCTCCCTTCCTCCTTCCTTCCTTTTCTTTCTTCCCTCCCTCCCTTTCATCCTCCCTCTTTTCCTCCTCCCTCCCTTTCTTCTTTCCTCCTCCCCTCCTTTCCTCCTTCCCTCTCTCCCATTCTTCTTTCTTCCTTCTCTCCCTCATCTCCTTCCTTCCTCCTTCCCTCCCTCATCTCCTTCCTTCCCTCCCTCATCTCCTTCCTTCATTCCCTCATCTCCTTCCTTCCTTCCATCCATCCATCCATCCTTCCCTCATCTCCTTCCTTCCTTTTCTTTCTTTCTTCCCTCCCTCCCTTTCTTCCGTCTTTTCCTTCTCCCTCCCTCCCTTTCTTTCCTCCTTCCTTCCTTCCCTCCCTCCCTTCATCTCCTTCCTCCCTTCCCTCCCTCATCTCCTTCCTTTCCTCCTTCCTTCCTTTCTTCCTTCCTTCCTTCCTTCCCTTTCCTCTTTCTTTTCCTTCCCAAAGGATATAAAGTAGGTAAAACTGCTGAAAACCATCAGCTTTGATAGAAACATCAATACTGAACAATCACCTCATTATGGATTCTACAGATAATCCTCATTTAAGGACCACTTGTTCAGTGACCGTTCAAAGTTATGACAGCCCTGAATGAGAAGGACTTCTGATGGGCGTTTCGGCTTGCAGCCGTCACATTGTCCCCACAGCGACAGGATTGCAACTCGGGTAGTTAGCAACCAGCTTGCAGTTACAACATTGCGACGTCCCTCAGTCACCTAACTGTCCCGTGTGACCTTCGCTGCTGGCTTCCAGCAAGCAAAGGCAAAGGGGAAGCCGGCAGAAGTTGACAAATGGCGATCAGGTGACCGCAGGACTCTGCGTGTGCGAGGGAGTCACTTAATGGGAGCAACTGGGACTGCCAGCTCTGCTGCCATTAAGTCGGTTCAGTCATGTGACGTCATGCCTTCCAACGATATTGAGAGACATTTAATGAGATGACACCTCCCTCAACCTCTTCTCCAATGCGCCTGAAGGCAGGACAAGAAGCAACGGATGGAAACTGGTCAAGGAGAGAAGCAATTCCTGGAGTTAAGGAGAAACTTCCTGACAGGGAGAACAATTAACCAGTGGAACGGCTTGCCACCAGAAGTTGTGGGTGGCTCCATCACTGGAGGCTTTTAAGAAGAGACTGGACAGCCACTTGTCTGGAATGGTGTACTATAGGGCAGGGGTAGGCAACCTTGGCTCTTTTATGACTCGTGGACTACAACTCCCAGAATTCCTGAGCCAGCCATGCTGAGGGGAAAGGGAGAGGTTTCCAAGCTGAGCCATGCTGGCTCAGGAATTCTGGGAGTTGAAGTCCACGAGTCATAAAAGAGCCAAGGTTGCCTACCCCCTGCTATAGGGTCTCCTGCCTGAGCAGGGGGCTGGATTAAAAGACCTCCAAGGTCCCTTTCAAGGTCTGTTGTTACGCTATTCATCACATTACACCATTATGTAATACAGTATAAGGCAAAAAATGATCTATGGTTTCACAAGACACATCGCACAAGGACAAACCTTTGTGCAGTTTTGCTACAAAATACAGCAGCATTAAGTCTTGGTGAAAAGCAAAAAAAATTTCCCTCAGCAATATAGAAAAAAACAACAACTCATTTCCCTGCCCAGAAACATAGCAGCATATGATACGATTAACAGGAGTGTTTATTTTATTTATAACACATATTTATGTATCTCCCCCAGCTCCCAAAACTCCGGAGAGTTTACGATAGTAAAGATTAAAAAACACAAACCAGCCAGCACAAAAGTCCACAGGAAAATAATATGATCATCCTGACTCAATCCATTTTTCTTCAGCTCGAGTTACGGTTCAGAACCCACATAAAAATAGCAGGACAGGTCACCGTTCATCTAATAAAATTTAAATTCATTATCCAGTGACCTTGTGCGTAAAACGGTCCTAACAAAAGACTGCAGAGGATCCAGAGGCAGCATCACTTGCAGATATGTAATAAAAGCAGTCCTCGACTTACAACCGTCCATTTAGTGACCGTTCAAAATTACAATGGCACTGAACAAAAGGACATACTGTATGACTGTTTTTCACACTTACGACCGTTTGCAGCATCCCCGTGGTCACCTGATCAAAGTTCAGATGCATGGCCACTGACTCATATTTATGACGGCCACGGCGTCCCGGGGTCACCTGATCCCCTTTTGCGACCTTCTGACAAGCAAAGTCAATGGGGAAGACAGATTCATTTAACGACCATGTTATTAACTTAATATCTGCAGTGATTCACTTAAACCGAGGGTCTTCAAACTTGGGCCTTTTATGACTTGTGGACTTCAACTCCCAGAATTCCTCAGCCAGCATGGGGGAACTATGGCCCCTTCATGACTTGTGGACTTCAACTCCCAGAATTCCTCAGCCAGGCATGCTGGCTGAGGAATTCTGGGAGTTGAAGTCCACAAGTCATAAAAGGGCCAAGTTTGAAGACCCCTGAGTTAAAAAAATGCAGCAAGCAATAAAAGGGGGCAAAGCTCACTTAACTAATGTCCCACTTAGCAACATGGGATTCAACTGTGGTGGTAAGTCGAGAACTACCTATAGCAGAGATGTTACACCAAGTATATTGTGGGGTTTTTTTTCCTGCAGAGATTGTCATCTTTTACTTTTTAATGGATCTCGTACAACATTCCCAGAGACTGATTTCCAGGAAGCTAATTTCATTAAAATAATTAATAATAATAATAATAATAATAATAATAATAATAATAATAATAATAATAATAATAATAAGGATGATGGTGTTGGGAGAGAAGTTGGAGGTCATCTAGTCCAATCCCCTGCTCAGGCAGGAAACCCTATACCATTTCAGACATTTCTCTTCTTAAAAACGTCCAGTGTTGGAGCACCCATAACTTCTGGAGGCAAGTCGTTCCACTGGTCAATCAGTCAATCAATGCAATGCAATGCAAGGTATAGTTGCTTGAGCCTGATTAACATGTTCTACAAACTTCTTCTTAAAAACTTCCAGTGTTGGAGCATTCACAGCTTCTGGAGGCAGGTTGTTCCACTGGTTAATTGTTCTAACTGTCAGGAAGTTTCTCCTTAGTTCTAGGTTGCTTCTCTCCTTGATTAATTTCCATCCATTGCTTCTTGTTCTGCCTTCAGGTGCTTTGGAGACTAGCTTGACTCCCTCTTCTTTGTGGCAACCCTTGAGATACTGGAGCACTGCTATCATGTCCCCCCTCTTCCTTCTCTTCATTAAACTAGTTTAATGAAGATTCCACCCGATTCCTGAAAGGAAGAATTAAAAAGAACACTTGCAAGTACCCACCGACTTCAGCTAATGTTTTGATGCAAGATTCCACTGAAGACTTCTGAGCTGGGTTTGGCCAAGTACAGTTGTAAATTCTGAAGGCAGATTGCAGCAGCTGGATGAAAACAGGCTGGTGTGTCTAAAGGAAGCAACACAAGGAACACATTCATTTCCACAGCAGAACATTTGCCCGTTCAGGAAATGAGACACAAATATGTGTGTTACAATTTATTTAACACTTGTAAGTATTCCTCTATATTTACAAAGGATTTTCGTGTACGTCCTTTTCAAGTGGCATTTACTGAACTGCCTTTTAACACAACCAAGGGTGGCAACTTGTTTTAATTTTTTTCCATTAGAGCAGTGGTTCTCAACCTTTTTAATGCCGCGACCCCCAACCGGTCGTAAGTCGAGAACTAAACCGGTCGTAAGTCGAGGACTAAACCGGTCGTAAGTTGAGGACTAAACCGGTCGTAAGTCGAGGACTACCCAGCAGGTCGTAAGTCGAGGACTTTCCCTGCCCGGGAGCGCCACGCATGCGTGGTTCCGCCCCCTGCGCCGGCCAAGGCGTAGCTGGCAAGCGGCAGAGACGGAGCAGGCCGACCACCAGCTGGCCCAGCTCAAGGGAGGTAAGGCACCCGCCGGAAAAGGGGGAAAAAATGGCAGACAGCCTTGCTTGGCGACCCCCGTGAAATGGTCAATCGACCCCAAATGGGGTCGCGACCCATAGGTTGAGAACCGCTGCATTAGAGCTTTGTGCCAGGAATTCCGGATCAGGAATTAAGATATGCAAGCTTGGTTTTTTTTTTTTTTAAAGCTTTTTGGTAAAAGACGCCTACAGGCAGTCCTCCACTTACAACCACAATCGCGCCGAAAATGTCTGTGGTTAAATGAGACGTTTGTTGAGTTTTGCCTCATTGTACGACCTTTCTTGCCACAGTTTTTTAAGCAGTTCTTAAGTGAGTAACCCGGTTGTTAAGTGAATCTGGCTTCCCTATTGACTTTGCTCGACAAAAGGTGAGCCTCTGACCTTGGTACAACACAGCAACGGTCGTAAGTATGAACCAATTGCCAAGCATCTGAATTTTGATTACGTGATCATGCAGAGGCTACAAAAATCTTAACTGTGAGAAACGGTCATAAGTCACATTTTTTAGTGCCTTTGAACGGTCACTAAATGAATGGATATAAGTCAAGGACTACCCATCTTCTACACAGCAGTTATAAGTACTGTACAAAACACTGTGCAGTACTTATAACTGTTATAAGCATAACTGTTGTAAGTACTCCAGGCACCACAAAATGCAGAAGGGCTCTAAATGTATTGTGGTGTGTGGCCTTTGAGCTATTCCTTCATATTGAAAAAGCATTTTTCTGAGGGAAGTTTTAGTTAAACGTTACATAAACACGACTTGGCACAAATGCTTCTGTAATGTGGCATCACAGCTAATTGTCTCTGTCACCCACTTCTTACCTGGAGGCTTGTGCTGTTGTCTGAAAACGGAGAACTGAAAAAGCCGCTGACTATACTCATTACTGGCTCGGTGACATATTTTTCCAGAGATAAATCGGCATGTTTTCTGTCTGTACTGGTGTTACAAACCTATTTGTGGAAAAAGTGACGATATGAAGAATCAAAAAAGATACAAACACTCCATTCGTTCATCAGGTTTTAAGTCAGAAACATAGTGCAGCAGACATGACAATAGTCAGTAGAATTCTAAGAGTTTTCCTATTTTTCTTTTTTAAGAGCTTAAAGAATGCAAAGCTTTCCCTCCCTCCATCTTTATATCTATCTATCTATCTATCTATCTATCTATCTATCTATCTATCTATCTATCTATCTATCTATCTATCTATCTACCTACCTACCTACCTACCTACCTACCTACCTACCTATCTATCTCTGTCTCGCTATCCCTATCTATCATCTATATCTGTCTGTCTATCTGTCTGTCTGTCTATCTATCTGTCTATATCTCTGTCTATATCTCTGTCTCTCTATCCCTATTTATCTATCTCCCTATCATCTATATCTGTCTGTCTGTCTATCTATCTCCATCTCTATCTCTCATCTCTCTATCTCTCTATCTCTCTATCTCTCTATCTCTCTATCTATCTATCTCCATCTCTATCTCCATCTCTATCTATCTCCATCTCTATCTCATCTCTCTATCTATATCTCTGTCTCTCTATCCCTATCTATCTATCTCTATATCATCTATATGTGTCTGTCTGTCTGTCTGTCTGTCTGTCTATCTATCTATCTCCCTATCTATCTCCCTATCTATCATCTATATCTGTCTGTCTGTCTGTCTATCATCTATTTACATCCATCTCTCTCATCTATCTGTCTATCTGTCTATCTGTCTATCTGTCTGTCTGTCTATCTATCTATCTATCTATCTATCTATCTATCTATCTATCTATCTATCTATCTATCCATACATACATACATACATACATACATACATACATACATACATACATACATACATACATACATCTATTTTAAAATCATTCTTAATATCAAGTTCAGTTCTTGGTTTGAAGAATACTTGCATGACTTAATTCTAGTGTTTTCCAACCTCCGCATCTTTAAAGATGTGTGGACTTCAATTCCAAAGAAAGTTCTCTTTCTATTTAGCTAGATAGCAAGGTAAGTTTTTTAAAAAACAAAAAAACAAAAAACCCCCACTTAATCAGATTTCTGAAAGACATCCAAAGGCTTACCCTTGCCATGTCAACCAGAAAATTCTCAAACAGCTTCCAGATGTGGTTGCTGGTGTAGATTTCCTTCATTTCCACTTCAGTGTCCACGTAGCAGTGATTGACAAAGTTGACATATGCAATCTTGATCTGGAAGTTCAAAGAAATTTTCGTTGATGCAAAACAGAAGCACGGCCACCGGATTTTCCCACCGATAGATATATCGCAACCATTCAGCAAAGTTTTGTACTACAGATACAGAATCTAAGGCAATGCTTCCTTTTCAAAAGTTTATTACTTGGGGATAATAATTTGTCTTCTTTTCAGTAATAGCCATAGCAATAGCACTTAGACTTATGTACCACTTTACAGTCCTCGCTAAGCAGTTTACAGAATCAACCTATTGCCTCCTCCCCAACAATCTGAGTCCTCGTTTTACCAACCTCGGAAGGATGGAAGGCTGAGTCAACCTTGAGCTGGTCAGGATCGAACTCCTGGCAGTCGGCAGAGTTAGCCTGCAATACTGCATTGTAACCACTGTGCCACTACGACTCCCTAATAATAACAGGATTATTAAAGATGGGTGCAATTAGTAAGGACGAAGAATGACATACCACAGTAGTTCTCAAACTGTGGTCCGCGGACCCCTCGGGGGCCGCAATGCCATCACAGGGAATCTGTGACAGCTTGAAGACATGTTATGATTTATATATTGAGTTAAGTCTTGGTGATCCATGGCCATGGTCCATGGCCACAAAAGGTATTTAAAGGGGGTCCATGGTGAAGAAAAGATTGAGAACCACTGATATACCATCTTCATTTAAATGGCAAACCATTGTTTTTCGTGACTTTTCCTACCCTGGTTTCCAAACCATGTTACCATTTTAGGGGAGATCAGTTTCATTGCTTTAATTAATGGCTTAATTAAGGTTCCGTGGTGGCCCAGTGGTTAGAATGCAGTATTGCAGGCTAACTCTGCTCACTGCCAGCAGTTCGATCCTGCCTGGCTCAAGGTTGACTCAGCCTTCCATCCTGAAATGAGGACCCAGATTGTTGTGGGCAATATGCTGTCATTGTAAACTGCTTAGAGAGGGTTGTAAAGCACTGTGAAGTGGTATATAAGTCTATTTCTATTTCTTTCTATTTCTATTCTAGCTGTGGGGGCGCAGTGGTTAGAATGCAGCATTGCAGGCTGACTCTGCTCACTGCCAGCAGTTCGATCCTGACAGGGCTCAAGGCTGACTCAGCGTTCCATCCTTCTGAGGTAAAATGAGGATCCAGATTGTTGGGGGCAACATGCTAACTCTGTAAACCACTTAGAGAGGGCTGTAAAGCACTGTGAAGCGGTATATAAGTCTAAGTGCTATTGCTATCTAAGTCCTGGTGGCGCAGTGGTTAGAGTGTAGTATTGCAGGCTAACTCTGCCCACTGCCAGCAGTTCGATCCTGACAGGGCTCAAGGCTGACTCAGCGTTCCATCCTTCTGAGGTAAAATGAGGATCCAGATTGTTGGGGGCAACATGCTAACTCTGTAAACCGCTTAGAGAGGGCTGTAAAGCACTGTGAAGCGGTATATAAGTCTAAGTGCAATTGCTATTGCTAAGTGCTATCATTATTTTCTTGATTTAACTCTTCTGCTGTAACTGCTATAACACAGAGCAGGCGGCCTATTTTTGGCACGACTGCTCAACGTGCAATCAAGATTCGTCTTCTTATTCATTTTTGTTTGTTTTATTTATTTATTTATTTATTTATTTATTAAATTTATATACCGCCCTATCTCCCTTACGGGACTCAGGGCGGTGAACAGGCGATACTAAAAACCACAATAATAAATAAATAATTTCTATGCTTCCTTTTCAAAAGTTTATTACTTTTGTTTTTGTAGTCTAAAGGCGGGCTTAGATAAAACTCGGGTTACCTCAGCAACGTCCGATATCAAAAGGCCACCTGATTTCAAGAACATCGCAGCCGCGCTCAACCTACCTCAGGTATGCAGTCATCGTGCGTCACCACTCGCACGATGTCATCCAAGGGAAGGAGAGAATTGCATTTGATCTCGGTGTAGACGTTTTTGCCTTCTGTGCAGGCTGCCAGCAGCTCCACCAGGGTGATGTGGTAAACCAGAGGTCCACTCTCGTCTACGCGGTCTCGCTCCGAGCACATCATTTGAAGGAGGGCTGGGAAAGACGCTCTGTCATTGTAGAATACCAAGACATCTTCACCTCCGTTGACCAGCTGCAAGGAGACCTGGAATTATTTCTCATCCAGAGTAACAGAATAACGGAGATGGAAGGGACTTTAGAGGTCTCCTAGTTCAGTGATGGCGAACCTTTTAGAGACCGAGTGCCCAAACTGCAACCCAAAACCCACTTATGCATCGTCGGGTGCCAGGTGGGTGTGGCCCATTGGCTGGGTGTGGCCAATTGGGGTGTGTGGCTCATTGGGTGGGCGTGGCTTTGGTGGTAACCAAAGCTGGGTGTGGCCAATTGGGGGGTGTGGCTCATTGGGTGGGCGTGGCTTTGGGTGGGACTAAAAAGTTCAATCAATCAATTCCAATTTTTTTTTTCCCCTGCGAGAAGTTGAAATTGACTGATTGATTGAACCTTTTTTTTTTTTTTGCACACGGCAGTGGAGGCCTAAAGCAAAAAGGCCTCCAGCTGAAGGCCTAGGACTGGGGCGACGGCGCACGTGCCCACAGAAAGGGCTCTGAGTGCCGCCTCTGGCACCCGTGCCATAGGTTCGCCACCACTGTCCTAGTTCAATCCCCTGCTCAAGCAGCAGACAGACCCCATACTAATACAGACAGATGGCCGTCCAATCTCTTCTTAAAAATCTGAGGGGATAGATGGGGAATTCATCAAATTTGCAGACGGCACCAAGATGGCCGGAATAGCCAACACTCCAGAAGATAGGCTTAAGATACAGGAGGATCTTGACAGACTTGAACATTGGGTGCTATCTAACAAAATGAAATTCGATGGTGAAAAAACTAAGGTTCTACATTTAGGCAAGAAAAACCAAATGCACAGGTATAGTATAGGTAGTCCCTTGCTCAATAGTAGTAACTGTGAAAAGGATCTTGGTGTCCTAGTGGACAATCGCTTAAACATGAGCCAGTCATGTGCTGCAGCTATCAAAAAAGCCAACACAGTGCTGGGCTGCATCAACAGAAGGATAGAATCAAGATCACATGAAGTGTTAATACCACTTTACAAGGCCTAGGTAAGGCCACACTTGGAATACTGCATCCAGTTTTGGTCACCATGATGTAAAAAAGATGTTGAGATTCTAGAAAGAGTACAGAGAAGAGCAACAAAGATGATTAGGGGACTGGAGGCTAAAACATATAAGGAACGGTTGCTGGAATTGGGTATGTCTAGTCTAATGAAGAGAAGGATGAGGGGGACATGATAGCAGTGTTCCAATATCTCAGGGGCTGCCACAAAGAAGAGGGAGTCAAGCTATTCTCCCTTAACCTACCTCTGTCATAACCATATCCTGGCACTTCTTGACGTATTTCCCATCGGCCTTGACAATGGTGTGCAAAAAACGCAGATATTCAACATGGCGGCCGTGCGTTTCTATGCAGTGGACAAAATGCTGCACCGCCCGCTCGCTAATCTCATTGCACAGATGGTAATTGTTGGTGAATATGTGCCTCATGGTTTCAGCCTCCAGAAGCTAATTTTAAAAATGGAGAAGAAAAAAAAGATTGCACGATAATGTGAGTAGTAATTTACACGTAACATTGACTAACAGGAAGAACGCTAATCCCACGTCGAATAACTTCTCTCTCTCTCTCTGTTGCATTTTATTCTTCACGGCCAGAATTTAGTCTTGTTTAAAATTCTCCATATTTTGAATCAGACTAAATTCGGGCCTTGAAGAGGTTGAATCGAAACTGATCAGTAGAGAATCGTCACAGCGGTGGGACAACATCTCCAAGTAGGAGTTAAGAAAGGAGACCTACTGTTCTATCCTAATCTTTCAAATAAGAAAAAATAGCCCCGAATGCCAATAAAGGAGAATATTTGTAGCTCAGGATTGAAACAAGGGGTCCTTGGTGCTCTCTGAGCTTGGTTGTTTTCTTGCAAATGTTTCATTACCCAAACTAGATAACATCACCACTGCTAGAGGGGGGCTTGTGGAGAGGAGGAGGAGGAGGAGGAGGAGGAGGAGGAGGAGGAGGNGGGGGGCTGTGGGATCCTTGGTACTTTCTGAGCTTGGTTGTTTTCTTGCAGACGTTTCATTACCCAAACTAGATAACATCATCAGTGCAGCACTGCGTTAGTACTGATGATGTTACCTAGTATGGTAATGAAACAACTTCAAGAAATCAGCCAAGCTCAGAGAGCACCAAGGCCCTTTCATAGCCTTGAATTTTCATGTGCAGAATCATGCAATCTTTTGGGACACAAATACCGTCCCTTCCAGTGAGAAATTCGTCCATAATTAAACACTCACCCCAGGGGTTAAGAATAGGTTGAGGTGTTTATGAAGAAGGATTTGATTCTGAGGGTTGCCACGACAGAAGTTCTGAAGAAAGAGGTGAGCTAAGGTCATAATTTCATTCATCTTTTGGTCAGTCTTCAGTCGCAGTCATTTCAATTGTGAGATGAACCAACAAAAGCAAAAAAAGTTAGATGTTAATATTGGTAGAGGTGGACTCTTAACACATTACATGTTTGTTAGTCAGTCAACACTGGTAGAGTCAAGTGTAAACAATCCATGTTTGTTTGATTTGCGTGCATGGTCAATTCAGATTTATTACACCCCTGAGACCAGACACAAACAAGATATTGAATAAACTAAGTATTTCATTCATGTAGGTATGTGTGCATGTATGTCAAACATTAATAAATTGAGTCCAAAAATAATCAAGATCATAGTTATTAAAATAGTTCTAAATAAAACACTATTACAACCACAGTAGTGGCCAAAATTGTGGAAATCTTTTGGGAAAAGTGTACAGTAGAAATGCCACCTTTGGTTAAGTTTCCACCCATTTTCCTTCTAATTTCTTTATAACTGTAGCCTTGTTCACTTAATAATATTATTTTACATCGCTTTCTGGGTGACCAGTCAACTCTTTGCACCATTACTTTAATTTTATTACGTTTTGCAAGCTCACTAGATGAAAGAACACAAAAAAACTCAACCAACATGATAGCCATAACATAACACACTGACAAAACAACTTTACATTTCATCTTGTATGCTAGATGAAAGACACATTTCTAAAATAATGAGCAACTTGAGAAAATTTCATTTCATTTCTGCAAAATAAAAAAACCAAGCCAGTGTCTTAGTAATTCATTTCACCACTCTGCAAATCTTTTGTCTGCGAGCAGTCCACAATTTACAACCGTTTGTTTAGTGAGTGTTTAAAATTACAACGGCACTGAAAAAAAAGGGACTTATGACCATTTTTCACATTTACAGTCATTCAGGCATCCCGCCATCACGTGATCAAAATTCAGACACTTGGCAACTGGCATGTACTTATGACGGTTGCCGTGTCCTGGGGTCACGTGATCCCCTTTTGCGACTTTCCGACAAGCAAAATCAAAGGGGAAGCCAGATTCACTTAACAACCGGGTTACTAATTTAACGACTCCAGTGATTCACTTAACAACTGTGGCACGGAAGGTCGCAAAATGGGGCAAAATTCACTTAACTACTGTTTTGCTTAGCAACGGATACTTTAGGCTCAATTATGGTTGTAAGTCGAGGATTATCTGCAGATGTCCAGCTAATCCATGTCCATTAACAGCCCCAAACTGAAAACCCCACATTTCGATTTTTGTCATGAAGGCAAGAATTTGAAAGTGAAAATAACCTCCCTCGATTATCATAATTTAATTGTTTGCATGAATTACAACTGCCAAATATACCCCACCCTCACCTTCTCGTAGGGGATTTGAAGAAGATCCAACACAACGCTGTGGGCGCCCATATTTTTAAGCAAGCGCTGTTGCTGATTTCGACATTTTTTATTTTGAATGCAGAGCCCCCGTAATCGGATCAAAATCTGTGGATTAAAAAGTAACACATACTGGACATCTTTCTTTTTTTCCATAAATGAAGGTAAATATACATGACCTGGGATAAGATCCAATCTGGTCGGTCACCAGGACCAGAGGTTTAATCTTCCGAGCTTTCAGACCCGTGCTGGAGCCCAACTTCAGGGAACTTCTCTCTACTAAAACATTTATTTATTTATTTATTTATTAAATTTATATACCGCCCTATCTCCCTTGCAGGACTCAGGGCGGTGAACAGGCGATACTAAAAACCACGGTAATAAATAGTTTGTTTTAAAATCGAATTAAATAACGGGCCTGTTCTAAAAACACACCCGTAAACCCCCCCCACACTGAAACATAATCAAGCTACGCCAGGCCGGCCGCACGGAATAGATGGGCCTTCAGGGCTCGGCGAAAAAGGCGCAGGTCCGCAACTGTACGTAGGTCGGTAGGTCATTCCAGAGGGCAGGAGCTGCCACAGAGAAGGCTCTCCCCCTGGGGGTCGCCAGACGGCATTGTCTGGCCGACGGCACTCTAAGGAGGCCCTCTCTGTGGGAGCGGACTGGCCGAAGGGAGGTGTTTGGTAGGAGGTGGTCTTGCAAATACCTAGGTCCATTGCCATGGAGCGCTTTAAAAGTTGTTACTAACACCTTGAAGCGCACCCGGAAGGCCACCGGCAGCCAGTAAAACATGAGCTTCGGGCTATTCTGTGAGCTGTATTTATGTAGTGCCTTCCTATTGGTTGATTGGTGTGTTGAGGGCCAGCAATTGGCTGTTGTTTCCTTGTGCTGCCAAGTCCTCAGCTCCTGAGTACTTGATCAGCCGGTGGTAAAACAGCACTCCTGTTGACTTCCCAGGCGTCAAATGTTGCCCTGGCTATTTTGTACCTGCTCAGCCAACAATCTTAGTAACTGCGAAACTGAACATATGTCCTTGTTCACTGCAGTGTGAGGCTACCAGTGAGTTTGGGTCTCCTCGTCTGTTTTCATTTTACTAAAAAATGTACAACTTTACTGTAATATTTCAACATACCTCCATAACTATATTATAGTTGTTACTCTTATTGGTATCGATCTGAGGTTTCTTACTCCCATCCTGGACTGGACTTAACATGCTTGAATCCTGTAATTTCAAGGAAGAGTCAAAAAGCAAAATTTAAATTGTTGTCACGTAAAGCAGTTACTTGTGCTATGATTATTAACTGAGGCTGTATTTGCATCTCAGGTTTTATTTTATATGTCTTTGTGAACTGTTGTTAGTCAGAGAAAAGAAGAGAAGAGAAGAGAAGAGAAGAGAAGAGAAGAGAAGAGAAGAGAAGAGAAAAGAAAAGAAAAGAAGAGAAGGAATTTGTCTAGAATGGTAGTTATAATAAATGTAAGATAATAATAATAATAACAAAAACATAACAAAGCTTGCAAAACTGTCAAAGCCTAGGAAAATGAAAGTAGGAAGTGATGTAGAGGATCAAAGCTAAAAAAAACTCACTTCTATAGGTTCATCGCTTCCTTTTGTTTGATTTTCACCCAATACACCATTTTCATAATTACTGCTTTTTTGGACCCAAAGTTCTGATTTTTCCACAGTCAGCCTTAGCTGGTCAAGGTCAGCTTTAATTTGCTTGTAACTGTCCACGTCTTGGTTAGACACCAGCAATTGGACCTGTAAAATATTCAGAATTCAGCAAAAGCTTAACTGCATCAAACGTAAGACATTTTACCCCAAAGGTCTGTTCATCTGCTTGTGATGTCGTGTTAGCAAACGGCGCTTTTGAAAAACGCTCGGAAAAAATTACTTTTTACACATCTGGAAAAATAAATAAAGCACAAATGATTTCATAGCCACACTCTTTTACATTTTTGGACACTGATAAGCATAACAAAATAAAAAACAGTATTTTGTTTTCTTCTCCTGCTTTTGGTGAGTAAAGAAATTCTAGGCTGTTTTCCTTGTATTCATTTGCTGATAAGCATCCAAATCTCTTCTTGAACATTTGGAAATATTTTCCAGGGAATGTGTAAGTGTGTGCATGTAACTGTAATCACATGTACATTATTCATTTTCTGACAAGAGGCTTCCAGCATCTTCAAAAGATTTTCACCCTCAGTCTCTGTATTGTTATCATAGGCAAAATTGACTGAGAGGCTCTTGGCTTACTAAAATTATTAACTAAGTTGGGGTCACTCCAGTTTTGAAACTTAATATCTATATCAGCCCTGAGGTTCAATAGAAATCGATGTAAAATAGTCCTTGGCTTACGACCACAATTGAGCAACATTTCACTTGCTAAGTGAAACATTTCTTAAGTGAATTTTGCCCCATTTTACAACCTTTCTTGCCACAGTTGTTAAGTAAATCACTTCAGTTGTTAAGTTAGTAACAGGGTTGCTAAGTGGATCTGTTTTCCCCCCTGCCTTTGCGGGTTAGAAGGTTGCAAAAGGGGATCACATGATCCCGGGACATTACATAAATATGAGTCAGTTGCCAATTTTGATCACCTGATCACCTGACCATGGGGGAATGCTGCAATGGTCGTGTGAAAAACGGTCATAAGTCACTTTTTTCAATGCCGTTGTAACTTTGAACGGTCACTAAATGAACTGTTGTAAGTCAAGGACTACCTATACCAGGGATAGACAACCTTGGCTCTTTTATGACTCGTAGACTTCAACTCCCAGAATTCCTGAGCCAGCCACGCTGAGGGGAAAGGGAGAGGTTTCCAAGCTGAGCCATGCTGGCTCAGGAATTCTGGGAGTTGAAGTCCACGAGTCATGAAGGGGCCATGTTTGAAGACCCCTGATATAGGCAGGGGAGGGGAACCTTGGCTCTTTTATGACTCGTGGACTTCAGCTCCCAGAATTCCAGAGCCAGCATGGCTCAGCTTGGAAAGCTCTCCCTTTCCCCTCAGCATGGCTGGCTCAGGAATTCTGGGAGTTGAAGTCCACGAGTCATAAAAGAGCCAAGGTTATCTACCCTTGACCTATACAGTGAAAGTGTTCCTTGACTGTTGAAGACTGTGTTACTTGTCGTAGACAAATGCTTATACAGATTCGGAAGAAATCGCATTCAAAATGGGAATATTATAATGCTCTATTTTTTTCTCCACAGAAAAGGAACATCTAACCTGACCCAAAACAGCAGTTTTGACTCACCATGGAAAGAAAATGCACAACTCTTATAGTATCACCATAAAGCATGCTTGCAGACATTTATCTCCTGTAACAGCTGAAGGATAGGTTGATGCAGTGTGCTAACCCAACATTTGGGGGGGGGGGGCACGGTGGCTCGGCGTTTAAGACGCTGAGCTTGTCAGATGGAAAACTGACAGACTGGGTTCAAGTCCCGAGCGCACACAATAGGGTGAGCTCCCATTCGTTGCTCCAGCTCCTGCCCATTTTAGCAATTTGAAAGCATGCAAGTGCAAGTAGATAAATAGGTACCACTTCGTAATAGCGTTTCACGCACGTCGGTGTTTAGTCATGCCAGCCGCATGACTACGGAAAATGTCTTTGGACAATGCTGGGTCCCTCGGCTAAGAAACGGAGACGAGGACCACCTCCTAAAGTTGGACACGATTGGGAGAAATTTCCCCTCTCCCTTTAAACCAGGGGTGACAAACTCAATTTCATTGAGGGTCGCATCAGCATTGCGGTTGCCCTCGGGGGGGACGGGGTGTGTGGCCAGGGTGGGTGCGGCCTACTGGGTGGGCGTGGATGGAGTGGGTGTGGCCTACTGGGTGGGCATGGCCAACTCTACATCGTTCGCATCAAGGGTGCCTGTGGGGGCCTGGGCAGGAGTGGGACAGATCTGAGGGTCTCTGGCAGAAGGGGGTGGGACCGGGGCAAGCGCCAAGCCATGGTCCACTTCTTCATTCCTCACAAAGGGGGACACCTCCCCAGCATGCACCCAGGGGGCGGGGGCGATACGGCAGGGGCTGCTTCCTCGCTGTTTCCGGACGGCCTTGTGGAGCTAAGACTGAATGTGTTTCAGCATAGATGGCCACCACAAAATTGTACATTGACTCTCGGCTAGCCTGGGCCAGGGCCAAGGCAGCGGGGGCCGTTCCCTCACTGTTTCCAGGATGGCTTTGCGGGCCACATGAAACCACTTCGCGGGCCGCATCCGGGCCCCGGGCCTTGTGTTTGACATGTCTGCTTTAAACCAACATTCTGGTGGGATGTACCTGCTTAAATGCTTGGAGCACTTCTGCTCTCTGACTGAAGTGCTTAAACAAGAGTTGCAGGGCTCCTGAGAGCAAAGGAGGGTAATCGTGCATTATAAGATGAATCAGGACTCGCAGAAACGTCCTGCCCCCTTCGTCGTCCAGTTGCACGGCGTTCTTTTCCTTCCTGCGTAAAAAGAGAGAATCTAGTGATAGCAACGCACGCGACGTTAAGCCTCTTTCGATGGGGCATTCTGAAGAGAGGGTTCGTTTATTCTGTCAGGAGGATCATTTGGGCCTCACTCAAAAGTGGACGAAGAGATTCTTGTCGAAACAAGGAATAAGGAAAAACCAGGAAATCCATCTGTTTGTAGCTCAGGGTTGAAATGAGGGGTCCTTGGTGCTCTCTGAGCTTGCTAGTTTTCTTGCAGACATTTCACGACCCAATTAGGTAACATCATCAGTGCTGCCGATCAGTGCTTACTAAAAGTCCTTAGGACTTTGCAAAACGTTCAGAAAATTAAGAATTCCACCACAGAGAATAGGGAGTGTATTGTTAGGCTGTCCAGAGGGAATATAAAGATGAATTAAAAGTATTAATTAGGCCTATTAGAGCAGGGCTTTTCAACCTTTTTACCCATTGTACCACTTTTAGGATATGGCAACATCTAAGTACCACCAGCAAGGTGTCAAAAACGTGATGACCAAAAAAACCCACCCCCATCTACTGGGTGGTTGCAGCAGGTTTTGGTCACTTCACATGACCCTGGGACACTGTGACCGTCATAAATATGAATCAGTTGCCAAGCATCTGAATGTAAATCACAAGACCCTGGAGAGGCTGCAACATTCCAGCTGATCGGCGCTTCTTCTGGGCTCAGCAGAAGTGGCAGGATCAGTGCAGAGCTCCAGCTGGAGCCTGGCGCTGATCCTGGCGCTTCCACTGAGCCCTGACAGTCCCGAAGAAGTGCCGATCAGCTGGAAAGCGGCACTGATCCTGGCGCTTCCGCTGAGCCCTGACAGCCCTGCAGCTCCAGCCGTCTCTCGCTCAGGCTTGTGCGGTGCTGCCACCGGTTCAGCTCATTCCCCTCCCCCGCTACCACTTTTCTAGGATGGTCGCGTACCACCTGCCAGGTGCCAGGGTACCACAGGTGGTACCCGTACCACTGATTGAAAAGCCCTGTATTAGAGCGAGAGAGTGGGAAGCAGTTGGTCAAGCAAAAACAGCAGGCCGAAGACATGGGCTTACCTGCCAGCAAACATGGTTTCTGCTTCTGCAGCGATTTCATCTATATCAGGAACAGCTGCTACAATAGAAGAAGACGTAGAGTCAACACTACAAAAACCATCCTCCTCCTTTCCTAGTTTTTTTTTTGCTCAAAGGAACTGATCAGCGGCAACTGGTGTGAGTTGGAAGGGACCTTGGAGGTCTTCTAGTCCAACCCCCTGCTCAGGCCGGAAGCCCTATACCAGGGGTAGGCAACCTTGGCTTTTTTATGACTCGTGGACTTCAACTCCCAGAATTCCTGAGCCGGCATGGCTCAGCTTGGAAACCTCTCCCTTTCCCCTCAGCGTGGCTGGCTCAGGAATTCTGGGAGTTGAAGTCCACGAGTCATAAAAGAGCCAAGGTTGCCTACCCCTGCCCCATACCATTTCAGACAAGTGGCTGTCCAATCTTACAATTCACAGGCTACATTTTTATGAGTTGATACTCACACGTGATGGCTGTTGAGTGGCATGGCTACTCACACATCACTTGTTCCCCCAACATTCCCTTTAGTGCCCCCCAAAATAATACCTACCATCTCAATTTAAGGGCTAGGCACATTCCACACGCAACACAATAATGCTGCTTAAACGTACTGCCCAAGAATGAAAGCTCACTCACACGTACTTTGCATTTTTTGGACCACACAAGTAATGATACATAAAATCATAGAATCATAAGCCTGGAAAGGGACCTTGAAGGTCTTCTAGTCCAATTTTCTGCCGAAGACAAGAGTTTTTATACCATCTCGGACAAATGGTTGTCCAATCTTGTCTTAAAAAGCTCCAGCGATGGAGCACCCATAACTCTGGGAGGCAAGCTGTTCCACTGATTAATTGTTCCCACTGTCAGGAAATTCCTCCTTAGATCCAGGTTGAATCTCCTCAGATCCAGGTTGAATCTCCTCCCAACATCCACTAGATGCTTCCTGTCCTGCCTCCAGTGCTATGGAGATAAAAAATATCATCCTTTTCCCTGCGACAGCTCGACAAGTATTGGAAGATGCTATCATGTCACTCCTAATCCTTATTTTCATTAGACTAGACCAGGGGTAGGCAACCTTGGCTCTTTTATGACTCGTGGACTTCAACTCCCAAAATTCCTGAGTCAGCCATGCTGAGGGGAAAGGGAGAGGTTTCCAAGCTGAGCCATGCTGGCTCAGGAATTCTGGGAGTTGAAGTCCACAAGTCATGAAGGGGCCATAGTTCCCCCATGCGGGCTCAGGAATTCTGGGAGTTGAAGTCCACGAGTCATGAAGGGGCCAAAGTTTCCCCCATGCTGGCTCAGGAATTCTGGGAGTTGAAGTCCACGAGTCATGAAGGGGCCATAGTTCCCCCATGCTGGCTCAGGAATTCTGGGAGTTGACGTCCACGAGTCATGAAGGGGCCATATTTCCCCCATGCGGGCTCAGGAATTCTGGGAGTTGAAGTCCACGAGTCATGAAGGGGCCAAAGTTTCCCCCATGCTGGCTCAGGAATTCTGGGAGTTGAAGTCCACGAGTCATGAAGGGGCCATAGTTCCCCCATGCGGGCTCAGGAATTCTGGGAGTTGAAGTCCACGAGTCATAAAAGAGACGAGGTTGCCTACCCCTGGACTAGACATTCTCAATTCCTGCAACCGTTCTTTATACATTTTAGCCTCCAGTCCCCTGATCATCTTTGTTGCTCTTCTCTGCACTCTTTCTAGAGTCTCAGCATCTTTTTTACATCGTGGCGACCAAAACTGGATGCCGGATTCCAAATGTGACCTCATTGATACAATATAGAGCTGTACAGGCAGTCCTGGACTTACGACCACAACCGAGCCCAAAATTTATGTTGTCAAGTGAGACATTTATTAAGTGACTTTTGCCCCCATTTTACAACCTGTCTTGCCACAGTTATTAAGTGAATCACTGCAGCTGGGAAGTTAGCAACACGGTTGTTAACTGAATCTGACTTCCCCATTGACTTTGCTTCTCGGAAGGTCGCAAAAGGGGATCACGTGACCCCGGGACACTGCCAACGGTCATAAATATGAGTCAGTTGCCAGCTGTCTGAATTTTGATCACGTGACCCTGGGGGTGCTGCAGCGGTCGTAAGTGTGAAAAACGGTCATCAGTCACTTTTTCCGGTGCCGTTGTAACTTTGAACGGTCACTAAACGAGCCGTTGTAAGTCAAGGACTGCCTGTACTGTCACCTTCGCATCATCTTGATGCCGTCCCTCTGTTGATGCAGCCTAGGACTGCGTCACAACCACAAAAGCCATGTTGCATCACAAGCTTTCATTCCTACATGTGACATCACGACGGACCTTGGACCACATCGCTGTGATGCTGCTTTTGTCGCTGGGCTTCCTACAGATGCCTTGAGGAAGGCTCTCGTTTGAAAGAAGTCATGGTTACCTTGATTTATTCTGGTTTACCTGAGGTGATAGTTGGTGAGTCGGGCGGCGGCGTTGTGGAATTGTCAACGTTTTCATTGTTCTCCCCAAATTCCTTCTTGTAAATAGACAGCAGGTAGGATATTCGATAGTCAAGGCGAACGCTAAGAATAAACTGTACGACACAGACTTTTGAGCCTAATTTTCATCCACACGCAAAGATCACTTATTTACAAAAATCAACGTTGCTACTATGACATTAAAATATATTTTAACATGAAACAAATCAAAGTTGCTACTGTGACATTAAAATATATTTTAAAATGAAACAATGCATTTGTCACTAATAATAAACATTTATAGCTCATGCTTGGAAACCGCTTCATATTTATGACGGTCGCAGTGTCCCGGGGCCAGGTAATCCCCTTTTGTGACTTTCTGCCAAGCAAAGTCAATGGGGAAGCCAGATTCACTTAACAACCGGGTTGCTAACTTAAACAACTGCAGTGACTCCCATCATAGCTATAAGAAGAAAGGTTGTAAAATGGGGCAACACTCACTTAACAAATGTCTCATTTAGCAACAGAAATGTTGGGCTCAGTTGTGGATGTAAGTCAAGGACTATGTCTATTTCTATTCTACTCTATCCTGTTTTCTACTCTACTCTACTCTACTCTACTCTACTCTACTCTACTCTACTCTACTCTACTCTACTCTACTCTACTCTACTCGGCCATCCCCACCCGGCACTCGCTGATGCATAAATGGATTTTGGGTTGCAGTTTGGGCACTCAGTCTCTAAAAGGTTCGCCATCACTGTTCTGTTCTGTTCTGTTCTGTTCTGTTCCGTTCCGTTCCGTTCCGTTCCGTTCCATTTATTCCATATATTCTATTCTATTCTATTCTATTCTATTCTGTTCTGTTCTGTTCTGTTCTGTTCTGTTCTGGTCTGTTCTGTTCTTTTCTGTTCTTTTCTGTTCTGTCTTACATTTCTTCATCTGCCCTCATTCTAGCTCCAGAAAATCTCCCTAACTCACAAGGCTGGAGAAGGAAAAAAGAGAATACAAAACTGTTGTTTTTCCGACCGAAAGGTTAAGTAAGCTACATTTCGTCCTTTTCTCCCAAAAATAAGTATTAGGGTAGGTTTGTTTTTTTTTACCTGTAAAATCTCGATAATTTTTAACTTGGTGTCCATCACAGTGACGTCTTCGCTGTCCACAAGGTTGGCTTGTTTGCTTCGGTGGGCGCTTGGGGGAATATCGGGTGACGAGGCAGGAAAGATAGACCCCCGGCTGAGGACCATTTGAGTCATCATCTCTCCCACCCCATGAATGGTTCGCATCACGTTGTTTCCTGGAAATAAGAGAGATAACAAGGGCTACTCTTGTTATCTTATACTAAAAAGCAGAGACATCACCCTGCCAACAAAAGTGCGTATAGTCAAGGCCATGGTTTTCCCAGTTGCAATGTGTGGCTGTGAAAGTTGGACCATAAGAAAGGCTGAGCGCCAAAGAATGGAGGCCTTTGACCTCTGGTGCTGGAGAAGACTCCTGCAAGTCCCCTGGACTGCAAGGCGATCCAACTGGTCAGTCCTAGAGGAGATCCACCCTGACTGCTCCTTAGAAGGCCAGATCCTGAAGTTGAAACTCAAGTACTTTGGCCACCTAATGAGAAGGAAGGACTCACTAGAGAAGAGCCTAATGCTGGGAAAGATGGAGGGCAAGAGAAGAAGGGGACGACAGAGAATGAGGTGGTTGGATGGAGTCATTGAAGCAGGAGGCGTGAGCTTCAATGGACTCCAGAAGATGGTAGAGGACAGGAAGGCCTGGAGGAACATTGTCCATGGGGTCGCGATGGGTCAGACACGACTTTGCAATTAACAACAACAACAACTCTTGACGGGCAACAGAAAGGTTGAGAATCTGGGAGATTGACATGAAAGAAGAACCATGAGCAAGTAAGTTCCCTTGAACTGAACTCAGGAGTCTGGTGAAAGGAAGGACACATCCATCCAGTGTCTGTCATGGAAGGTGTGAATGGCCTTGAGAAAAGAGGAGAAGAGATGGCGCCTAGGAAACAATCAGAAGAGAGGCAGGAGCCCCCAGTCGCTTAACAGTCGGAGGAAGAAGCTTAGGAAGGACCCTCCCTAATGGATCAAGAGGTTAAAAATGGTGAGGGGAGGTTTGTACCTTCAGAGGAGGTCAACCTATTTTTCAAAACATCAGAAGGCAGGACATGAAACAATGGATGGAAACTAATCAAGGAGAGAAGCAACCTGGAACGAAGGAGACACTTCCTGACAGTAAGAAACAATCAACCAGTGGAACAGAAGTTGCCTTCAGAAGTTGTGGGTGCTTCATCACTGGAGGTTTTAAGAAGAGATTGGACAGCCACCTATGTGAAATGGTATAGGGCAGGGGTAGGCAACCTGGGCTCTTTTATGACTCGTGGACTTCAACTCCCAGAATTCCTCAGCCAGCCACACTGAGGGGAAAGGGAGAGGTTTCTAAGCTGAGCCATGCTGGCTCAGGAATTCTGGGAGTTGAAGTCCATGAGTCATAAAAGAGCCAAGGTTGCCTACCCCTGGTATTGGGTCTCCTGCTTGAGCAGAGAGTTGGACTAAAAGACCTCCAAGATCCCTTCCAGCTCTATTCTGATTGATTGATTGATTGATTGGGATGGGACAATCCCAGTGGGAACTGGATTTGTCATATTGGGTTAATTTCCAATCTAGAACTACAGGAGATAACCAGCGTAGCTCCTTTGGTAGAGCTAACAAGACGGGCAAACCACACAAAACCTGATGTTCCTCAGGCTGCTATTTTATGGACCAACTGCATCTTCCGAACAATCTAGGCTACACAATGCAAACTGCAACAGTCCAAATTCAATATAATTGGGACATTGAGTGATCCTCAGTGAAATTTGAGGCTTGCCTCCAGAAGTTATGGTTGCTCCCATCATTGGAGTTTTAAAGAAGAGATTGGGCAATCATTTGTCTGGAAGGACACAGGGTCTCTTGCTTGAGCAGGGGGTGGAACCAAAAGACTACTTAGCTAGTTGTTGCTATATTACAAGTAGTCCTCAACTTACAACAGTTCGCTTAGTGACTGTTCGAAGTTACAACAGCACTGGAAAAAAGTGACTTATGACCATTTTTTCACACTTACGACTGTTGCAGCATCGCCATGGTCAAGTGATTTACATTCAGATGCTTGACAACTGACTCACATTTATGACGGTCGCAGTGTCCCGGGGTCGCGTGATCCCCTTTTGCAACCTTCTGACAAGCAATGTCAATAGGGAAACTAGATTCACTTAACAACTATGTTACTTATTTTAACCACTGCAGAGATTCACTTAACAACAAGGTCGTAAAATAGGGCAAAATTCACTTAACAAATTTCTCACTTAGCAACACAAATTCTGGACTCCCTTGTGGTCATAAGTTGAGAGTTACCTATATTGTACTTATTTGATTCATTAAATTTTTGCTGGTCCTTGACTGAATCAATATACTAAATATAATGGCCAGGCCAAAAAGTACCAATTCTCAGTCATTTCAGTGAGACTCATTCATAAAACTTCACAATTTTCAAGTTTTCTTTGAAGTATCTCCCGTGAAACTGAAATCTTACTTTTGACACCAATATATAAATTGAACGCCTATTCTGAGCCTTCAACCGCTTCACAACTCAATGAAATGTGTCAAACAAAAAAACGATTGTCTTGCTAATCCCTCCTGTGAGAATAATAGAAAGAGACCTTAAATGAAAGCCCTTGGCAGTTAAGAAGAAATTAAATTAAGGGGGAATTAATTTTTTTCTATTTAAACACTGCAATGAATTAATGCAGCTGGGAAGAGTTTTAATAGGGAAACAAAACCATTTAATTTTAGGATTCACTGGTTGAAAGAGGTTGTGACACAAGATCTCGTTTATATCAATCAAGAAGTGCAAAAGTCACAAGCACTCCAGTTTTAGATAAGATGTTTTAAAAAAAATTAGGAAAGGAAGGCAATTATATTTCAAATTAACCCAGAGCAGGTGTTGGAAAAATCTACGAGAGTGAAATAGAAAATTGCAATTATGGTGATTACCAGGGACTTTTTTTTTTTTTTCATCACCCTCGTTCCCTCCCAAAAAACCTGGAATTTTTTGCAGAACAAGAATTACTAAAGTGCTTACTATATTTGATAAGTATTTGAAGACGTAAATTTTATAAAAGGGCTTAAAAGATTTTTTTTATATAGATGTAGATTGATGAAATTATAGAGAAGACTGGGGATTCAAAGTTTTGTACTTTGCTGAAGTGGTAAAGATTTTGGCTTACTTGAAGTATTATTTGAATGAATAATTTTTATTAATATGGAGAAGATGGATT